AGCCCTCTCCATTTTTTTCTTGATAAGTCTGGCTAAAGGTTTATCAATTTTGTTTATCTTTTCAGAGAACCAGCTTTTAGTTTCATTGGTCTTTTCTATTGTTTTATTCATTTCTATTTCTTTGATTTCTGCTCTGATCTTTATAATTTCTTTCCTTCTACTAACTTTGGGTTTTGTTTGTTCTTTTCTCTCTGGTTGCTTTTGGTGTAAGACTAGGTTGTGTATTTGTGATTTTTGTTTCCTGAGGTAAGATTGTATTGCTATAAACTTCTCTTTTAGAACCACTTTTGTCACATCCCATAGGTTTTGAATCATCATGCTTTTGTTTTCATTTGTGTCTCAGTATTTTTTGATTTCTTCAGTGATCCCTTGGTTGCTTAGTAGAATATTGTTTAGCTTCCACGTGTTTGTGTGTGTGTGTGTGTGTGTTTTTTTTTTTACATTTTTTTTTTCCTGTAGTTGATTTCAAATCTCATAGCATTGTGGTCAGAAAAGATGCTTGATATGATTTCAGTTTTCTTAAATTTACTGAGGCTCACTTTGTGGCCCAGCATTTGGTCAATCCTGGAGAATGTTCCATGTGCACTTGAGAAAATGTGTGTTCTGCTGTTCTGGGATGGAATGCTCTATAAATATAATTAAGTGTATCTGGTCTAATATGTCACTTAAGGCCTGTGTTTCCTTATTGATCTTCTGTCTGGATGATCTGTCCGTTGATGAAAGTGGGGTGTTAAAGTCCCCCATTATTATTGTGTTACTCTCAGTTTCTCCTTTTATGGCTGTTAGTGCTTGCCTTATATATTGGGGTGCTTCTATGTTGGGGGCATGTATATTTACAATTATTATATCTTTTTCTTGGCTTGATCCCTTTATCATTACATAGTGTCCTTCTTTGTCTGTTGTAACAGTATTTATTTTAAAGTCTATTTTTTCTGATATGAGAATTGCTACTCCAACTTTCTTTTGATTTCCATTTGCATGGAATACCTTTTTCTATACCCTCACTTTCAGTCTGTATGTGTCCCTAGATCTGAAGTGGGTCTCTTGCAGACAGCATATTTACAGGTCTTGTTTTTGTATCCATTCAGCCAGTCTATGTCTTTTGGTTGGAGCATTTAATCCATTTCCATTTAAGGCAATTATCGATATGTACGTTCCTATTGCCATTTTTTAAATTGTTTTGGATTTGTTTTTGTAGGTCTTTTTGCCTTCCTTCCTCTTTTGTTCTCTTCTCTTGTGATTTGATGACTAACTTTAGTGTTGTGTTTGGATTCATTTTTCTTTTTTGTGTGTGTATTTATTGTAGATTTTTGGTTTGCAGTTACCATGAGGATTTGATATAGCAGTCTGTATATAAACAAGATTGTTTTAAGTTGCTGGTCTTTTAATTTCAAGTGTTTCCAATATCCTGCATTTGTGCTCTCCTCTTCTCACAATTGCTGATTTTGATGTCATATTTGTGTGCAGATGATTTCCTACATTTACTTTATGTTTGCCTTTATCAGTGAGCTTTTCCATTCGTAACTTTCTTGTTTCTAGTAGTGGCTCTTTTCTGCTTAGAGAAGCTCCTTTAGTATTTGTTGCAAAGCTGATCTGGTGGTGCTGAATTCTCTTAGCTTTTGCTTGTCTGTAAATCTTTTGATTTCTCCATTGAATCTGAATGAAAGCCTTGCTGGGTAGAACATTCTTGGTTGTAGGTTCTTCCCTTTCTTCACTTTAAATATATCATGCCGTTCTCTTCTGGCCTGCAAAGTTTCTGCTGAGAAATCAGCTGATAACGTTATGGGAGCTTCCTTTTATGTTATTTGTTGCTTTTCCCTTGTTGTTTTTCTTTGTCTTTAATTTTTGTCAATTTGATTACTAAGTGCCTTGGCATGTTCCTACTTGGGTTTATTCTGCCTGAGACTCTCTGCACTTCCTGGACTTGGGTGACTGTTCCCTTTCCCATGTTGAGGAAGTTTTCAGCTATTATCTTCCAATATTTTCTCTGGTTCTTTCTCTGTCTCTTCTCCTTCTGGGACTCCTATAATGCTGATGTTGGTGCATTTAATGTTGTCCCAGAGGTCTCTTAGACTGTCTTCATTTCTTTTCATTCTTTTTCCTCTATTTTGTTCTGTGGCAGTGATTTCCACCATTCTATCTTCCCAGGTCACTTATCTGTTCTTCTGCCTCGGTTATTCTGCTATTGATTCCTTCTAGTGTATTTTTCATTTCAGATAGTGTATTGTTCATCTCTGTTTGTTTGTTCTTTAGTTCTTCTAGGTCTTTGTCAAAATTTCTTGTATCTTCTCAATCTGTGCCCCCAGTCTTTCTCAAAAAAAGAATGTTCCAAAAAAAAAAAGATCATGTTCACTATTATGTTGGATCATGTTCACTATCGTTACTCTGAATCATGTTCACTATCATTACTCTGAATTCTTTTTCCAGTAGATTGCCTATTTCCACTTCACTTAGCTGTTCTTCTGGGGTTTTATCTTGTTACTTCGTCTGGGACATATTCTTCTGCCATCTCATCTTGTCTAGCTTTCTGTGATTGTGGTTTCTGTTCTACAGGCTGCAGGGTTCTAGTTCTTCTTGCTTCTGCTGTCTTCTCTCTGGTGGGTGAGGCTGTCTAAGAGGCTTGTTCAGGCTTGCTGGTATGAGGGCCTGGTTCCTGCCCACTGGTGGGTGGAGCTGGGTCATGTCCCTCTGGTGAGCAGGGCTGTGCTCAGGAAGACTTTAAACAGTCTGTCTGCTGATGGGTGGGGCTCTGTTCCTTCCCTGTTGGTTTTTTGGCCTGAGGTGTCCCAACACTGCAGTCTACTAGTTTTGCGTGGGGCGAGGTCTTGGTGGGAAATGGCAGCCTCCAGGAGAGCTCATGCCAATGAGTACTTGCCACAGCTACTGCTGCCAGTGTCTTTGTCCCTGCAGTGAGCCACAGCCACCCCCAGTCTCCTCAGGAGACCCTCCAATACCAGCAGGTAAGTCTGGCCCATTATGAGGTCACTGCTTTTTTCCCTTGGGCCTGGTGCACACTAGATGTTGTGTGCACCCTTGAAAAGTGGAGTTTGTTTCCACTAGTCCTGTGGAATTCTTGCAATCAAACCTGCTGGCCTTCAAAGCCAGATTCTCTGCAGGGGGTCCTTCTCCTGTTGCCAAACGCCCAGGCTGGGAAGCCTGACATGGGGCTCAGGACTTTCACTCCTGTGGGAGAACTTCTGTAGAATAATTATTTTCCGGTTTGTGGGTCACCCACCCAGAAGATATGGGATTTTATTTTATCATGCTTGCACCCTTCCTACCATCTCATTGTGGCTTCTTTGTCTTTGGATGTAGGATATCTTTTTTGGTAAGTTCCAGCATTTTTTTTTAATCAATGGTTGTTCAGCAGTAGTTGTGATTTTGGTGTTTTTGTAAAATAGGATGAGCTCACGTCCTTCTATTCCCCCATCTTGCCGGCAAGTCCTTTTTTCTAATTCACATTATAATTACTTCTTTGACTCATGATTTAACTGCTAGAGATTATGCATGAAAAATCATTTGTAGGAATCTGAAACTCATGATAAGTGCATTTTCTTGCAGAGAATTGGTGCTTGCTTCTGTAGGAACCCAGAGGCCCTACCAGCCTAGACCAATTTAGCCAAGTTCAAACCTTAATCTCAGGCTATATTTCTTCAAGAACTTTGCATTTCTGGGTCACCTTGACCTTGAGGGTATAGACCCTTGTTTCCCTTTATTTGGTTCCTGAGCTTTGAGTTCTTTCAGGATTTTAAGGCCGTCAAAAGGAAAGTTTTCATTCTCTAGGGTCAGATAATGACCTCAGGGGAAAAAATGGCTACTGTACACCCTACACCTCAAGTGTCTCATTTCTGCTCCACCTTTTGACCTATTAATCCCTATGTTATTCATGCCTCAACAGTTTAAATTTTAAAAAAAAATGTAATCTGCTTTTTTAGTTGTGTTCAACTAAAAAATTATACGCACATATAGATATGGTTCACACACACACAGACATATATATGTGTATATATACATAGACATATATAAGTATATATATATACATAGACATATATGTGTGTATATATGTATACACACATATATGCATATATATATACATTATGTAAATGTATGTGTGTGTGTGTGTGTATATATATATATATATATTGCTCTTCCCCCTAACAAGAAGTCTACATAATAAACCTTAACAGAAGAATGCCTCTATATATATATATTATATTGCTCTTCCCCCTAACAAGAAGTCTACATAATAAACCTTAACAGAAGAATGCCTCTATATACAATATAGCTTTATTTTCACTAAACATCAATAGTTAAATATTGTATCAATTCTAATCATTACAGTCCCTGGTTGTTGACACATTCAGCCCACAGCTTCTGTGTATCTTTATATATCACTCACTTCTGAAGATTAAAAATCCTTTCTTGGAATAGACACACAGATTTTTTTAAAAATTGCAAACAGTATATTCACCTCCCAGAACAAGAAAATAGCCTTTCTGTTTCCTTTTGCAACTAAACAAGGGAAGTAGTTGAGTTCACTCCTCTAATTCACCAGCTCTCAGCTGCCATTTAGCAGAGCCAGGAAGCAGCAGTTCATACCATGTAGTTTCTTCACAGCATATAACCTCTTGGCTGACTTTTTCCAGTCATAAAAGAAAACTTCCTATCTCAACAGAAAATCTCATGTGTCATGAATTGATTGTTATCAGGAGCAGCAAGATAGTAATGGTTGCACATTAAATATTACAAAATTATTATCTGTTACACCAAAGGTTTAAAATGGTTTCATGAAAAGTAAATAATATATCACTATTTGTTCTGTCTCCATATGTAAATATTTGATAATTAGCTTTTTAAGGGAGGATTAAAACTAGCCTCTTTTTACTTTCATGTATGTGTCTCAATTAACTACAATATTTCTCATTCATTTTACATTCAATTTTCATAGAAAATATAAGTGGATGCAAATGCATATTGATTATATTATACCTTTGATTTAGGATGAAATTAAGGTAAAAAATCCACCGTCACCTCCAAAGGTATGCTCTACTGCTGGCTCTTGTTCTTCAGAGGTAATGAATACCAAGACTGCCATCAAAGAGCACACTGTTTGCATACCAAACTGTCTGGATCAGGAAATCAAAGTAAGAGGCAGGTTTATTAAATCTTCAACTTGAGAACAGCATGAATATACAAAAAAATCACATCACTAGCATCCTTAAAACTCTTTAATGGTTCCCATTGACAACTGAATTGATTTAAAACTACTTAGCCTGAAATCCAAGTCCTGCTCCTATTTTTCACTTGCAGATTCTCCCTGGAATCCTGTCATTCTTATAGAAACACAATCTTTGGTTTACACATAATGAAAATCTTGGCCTTTTCCAAAGGAACTCAGCCCTATTCTTCCCATGTCTTCCTAATGCTTGAGAGGCATTACCCCCAACTTCTTGCCATTTCCTGTACATTTCCTTCACATATTTTAAGGCAGAGATTCCTCCAGTCAACACTCATCTCTCCCTCTTATCTGTAGAAAACCGTTTCCTCCAACTTTTTCTGCATGGGGTTATAAACTTAGTTATATTTATAGTAATATGTCATATCAGACAACTGGAAAGTTTTCTCCAGCCACAGTTATTTCTGAGAATGACATATAATCAAAAATAAATCAATCAGCTGATATCTGTCATCTGCCATTCTTTGTTTTCCTTCTTTAGATCCTTTTGGAAACATCAGCATTGCCTCACTGTAAGATCCAGTACAATGAATTAAAGGTCAAAATATTGTAATGATGACTCTGGTAGAAGTTTTAAATAATAATTTTCTGTGATAGCAATGACAAATAACAGAGCATGTTTTACAAATTGTTTTTAAATAATCCTGATAAGGAACTATTTTAAAAGTAAAGCATAACACTGGCAGTGCATATAATTTATGCTGATGATTAAAATTGTGAAGGAGAATAAAAGGAAAAGAGAAAAAGAAGAGAGAGTATCTTCAGACCTGATTTGTGTTTATGCAGAGTCTTCAAAATCACTATTCACCTGCCCCACTGCACTCTGGCACCACTGATCTTCCTATAATTTACTCATTTTCACCTTAGGAGCTTTCCTATACTAAGAGCTCTTTTCTTCTTGATCCTCTCATTTTATTTTTAAGGTCTCAGTTTTAATATCACTTTCTTAGGAATATTGGGTTGGCCAAAAAGTTAGTTTGGGTTTTTCCATAAGATGTCATAGAAAAACCTGAATGAACTTTTTGGCCACGCCAATACTTTCCCTGACCACCCAACTGAACGTAGTTTTTATCTCATTGCCCTTTGTTATTTTTTGCCTTTTTTCTATATCTAAATTGTTCATATTTATTTATTTGTTTCAATATTGTCTCTGCCTACCCACTCCATATGCAGTAAAATTTAAGTCTTATATGATCTCATACTTGTCTGTCTTGGTTACTGCTTTATCTTTCATGCCTAGATAAGTGCAAGATGCCTAGCAATTATTAAATGAGTATTTATTGAATGTTGAATAAATAAGTTAAATGGAAAAGTGCTACCAAGATCAAAGTGGAACTATAGAAAATCAGCTAACCACATAGGCTTTTGATTCAACTAAAGAACAAGCTGAGTGCAGTTTTGGTAAGGCTTTCTTGCTTCCTTGGGCATATCAATAGACCAGCATGATTCTATAGAACTGGCCTTGTAGGCATCTATTAAAAAGGTTTCCTCTGAAAAGTATCTTCCACCTTAAGTATATTGACTTAATTGGCCATCAGTTGATATAAAATCCACTAAAATGTAAGCTCTTTGAAGTAAGAGATCTTGTCTGTCTTGTTGACAACTGATTCCCCAGCACTCATCACTTTGCTTGAAAAATTTTAAATGGTATGCACAACATGGCATTTCATTAAGTAGTTGTTGGCTATTTGTTAAATAAATGAAAGGAGAGGGAGTAACGTGGGAAAATAGGCCATATCAAGACTTTTTGGCTTGTATAAATGAGTCGTAAGTATAGAACCCATTTTGGTCATTCTCCATCCTCCCATGCCTTCTATAAAAAAGAATCTAACATATTTTCCAATTTCCTACTATCCAGGCTGGTAACTCTGAATGGGTTGTGAAGTCACAAATGTTTGTGCAGCCATGTGGATGAAAGAGTATGCAGTGTCTTTGGCTTTGAAGGCCAGTGGGGCTTGATTGTAGGAGCTTCACAGGACTGGGGGAAATAGAGACTTCACTCTTAAAGGGTGCACACAAAATCTCACACACACCAGGACCAAGGGCAAAAGCAGTAATTTGATAGAAGCATGGGCCAGACCTACCTGCTGGTCTTGGGGGTTCTCCTGGGGAAGTGGGGGGTGGCTGTGGCCCACCCTGGGGACATAGATATTGGTGGTGGATATATTGGGGAGCATTCATCTGTGGGAGCTCTTCCGGAGGCTCACATTTTGGCATCAAGACCTGGCCCCACCCAATAAACTGTAGACTCCAGTGCAGGGATGCCTTAGGCCAAACAACAAAATGGGTGGGAAAACAGCACCACTCAACAGCAGGCAGGCTGCATAAAGACTGTCTGAGACCACAGCTGCCTCTAGACAAGCCCCTAGACATGACTCTTCTTACCAAAGGACTAAGGCCTAGCTCCACCCATCAGGGGGCAGGTACCAGCCCCTCCCACCAAGAAGCCTGTACAAGCCTCTAGACCAGTCTCAGCCACGAGGGTGCAGCTACCAGCAGCAAGAAATCTACAGTCCCACAGCCTGCAGACCAAGTGCAACTGCAGGTCAGACACTACTCTGGGACAAGCTGGCCCCTGGCCCTTGAGTGATGAGAGGGGAGTGCACTGCTGGGACACATAAGACATCACCTACAGAGGGCCACTTCTCCAAGGTTGAGAAATGTAACCAACCTACCACATACATAAAAGTACAAATAGCAATTTAGACAAAATGAGGTGACAGGGGAATATGTTTCAGATGAAGGAACAAGATAAAACACCAGAAGATTGACCGCCTGGAGGGGTGGGATAGGGAGGGTGGGAGGGAGGGAGACGCAAGAGGGAAGAGATATGGGAACACATGTATATGTATAACTGATTCACTTTTTTACAGAGCAGAAACTAACACACCATTGTAAAGCAATTATACCCCAATAAAGATGTTAAAAAAATAAATAAATAAAAGATTTACAGTTAATAAAAAATAAAAAAAAAAACACCAGAAGAACTAAGTGACGTGGAGATAGGCAATCTACTTGAAAAAGAATTTAGAGTAATGATCGTAAAGATGATCAAAGAACTCATCTATAGAATAGATGCACAGATTGACAAATTATATTTTCTAATTTTTTGTTAAAAACTTCTAAAAATAACAACAGAATTAAAGAATACAATAATTGAAATGAAAAATATTAGAATGAATCAATAGTAGAATAAATGATGCTTAAGAATGGATCAGTGAGCTGGAAGACAGAGTCATGGAAATCACTGCTGCTAACAGAAAGACAAAAAAAGAATAAAAAGAAATGAGGACAGTTTAAGAGACCTCTGAAACAACATCAAGCATGCTAATATTCACATTATATGGGTCCCAGCAGGAGAAAAGAGAGAGTAAGCACCTGAGAAAATATTTGAAGAGATAATAGTTGAAAACTTCCTTATCCTGGGGAAGCAGTCACCCAAGTCCAGAAGCACAGAAAGTCCCATACAGGATTAACCTGCCGAGTAATACACAATGGCACATTGTAATCAAAATGATGAAAATTAAGGATAAAGAGAAAATATTAAAAGCAATAAGGGAAAAGCAACAAATAACATACAAGGGAACCCCCAGAAGGCTATCAGCTGATTTTTCAGCAGAAACTATGCAGGCCAGAAGGAAGTGGCCCAATATACTTAAAGTGATGAAAGAGATAAACCTACAACCAAGAATACTCTACCCAGCAAGGTTCTCATTCAGATCTGATGGAGAAATCAAAAGCTTTGCAGACAAGCAAAAGCTAAAAGTATTCAGCACCACCAAACCAGCTTTACAACAAATGTGAAAGGAACTTCTCTAGGCAAAAAAGAAAAGGCCACAACTAGAAACAAGAAAATTACAAAATGGAAAAGTTCACTGGTAAAGGCAAACAGACAATAACGGTAGGAAATCATCCATGCACAAAGCTAGTAGGGAGGTTAAAAGACAAAAGTAATAAAATCATTTGTATCCACAATATGCAGTTAAGGGATACACAAAATAATTAAATATAAAAAATGATATCAAAAACAGTGATCATGAGGGAAGGAGAGTACAAATTCAGGGTGTGTAAAATGCATTTGAAATTAAGAGATCAGCAACATAAAACAAGCACATATAAATATAGAATCCTATACAAAAACCTCATGGTAACTGCAAACCAAAATTCTATAATAGATATACACACAAAAAGGAATCTAAACAGGCTAAACATAGTCATCAAATCACAAGAGAACAAAAGAAGGGGAGAAAAAGATCTACAAAAACAAATCCAAAACAATTAACAAAATGGCAATAGAACATACATATCGATAATTACCTTAAATGTAAACAGACTAAATGCTCCAACCAAAAGACACAGATTGGATGAATGGAAAAAAAAACAAGACCCATATAATTGCTACCTACAAGAGACCCACTTCGGATCTAGAGACACATACAGACTGAAAGTGAGAGGATGGAAAAAGTATTCCATGCAAACAGAAGTCAAAATAAAGCCAGAGTAGCAATACTTTTATCAAACAAAATAGACTTTAAAGACTTACAAGAGGGGCTTCCCTGGTGGCGCAGTGGTTGAGAATCTGCCTGCTAATGCAGGGGACACGGGTTCGAGCCCTGGTCTGGGAAGATCCCACATGCCGCGGGGCAACTAGGCCCATGAGCCACAACTACTGAGCCTGCGCTCCGCAACAAGGGAGGCCACGATAGTGAGAGGCCCGTGCACCGCGATGAAGAGTGGCCCCCGCTTGCCACAACTAGAGAAAGCCCTTGCACAGAAACGAAGACCCAACACAGCCAAAAATAAATAAATAAACAAATATGGGGTTTAAAGAGAAAAGAATATTTAAAAAAAAAAAGACTTACAAGAGACAAAGAAGGACATTACATCATGATAAAGGATCAATCCTAG